CATATGATCGGACGCTCCAGAGTCGATAATCCAGGGGGTTTTAGATTTTGACGCGGTAAATAACGCTGTTAAAATATTACCTTTATGAGCTAGGGAACTCGAAGGGCCATTGGGAAGAGACTGACCAGAAGTTTAAAGATCGGTGAAAATTTGGTAGAGTTGTTCCAATTGTTCAGGATTGAATGCCCCATTATGAGCAAGGTTGATTTTTGCCTCAGCTTGATATCCCCGACCCCTGGGGTTTTGTCTTGGTTTCCAATCAGCAGGTTTTCCATGTAAGTCCCAACACGTATCTTCTTTATGTCCGGGCTTACGACAATGATCACACCATGGCCAGCCACGTTGTTTTTTACTAGACCCATTTATTTGTCCTTTTGATGACAGACCCATGGAATCAGGCCCATTATTTTCAGGCCCAAAGCCCTTCCCACTTAAACACTTATTGTGCAGACTTCTTTCTTCAATTTGGCCTTTAAGTGTTGGCCCAACTCGTACAATACTCTCAGGCCCTTTCCTTTTTATTATAAGGGCCGAAACTTCACTGGGCCCTTTACCCTCCTCCAGCATAATCAACCGGCGGGCTTCCTCCCGTCGGACTTCAGAGAAGACCTCGCGAAGGGATGGCAGTGGACGCCGGCCAAGGACGCGACCTCTGACGTCGTTGAGGTCACGATTTAAACCAGCAAGGAACTCATAAACCCGTTCGGTTTTAAGCTTCTTCTTGTATCGTACGCTGTCATCTCCACACTTCCACTCTTCATCACTGCTGAGATCAAGTTCCTGCCAAAGTGAGGTCATCTCCATGAAGTAATCGGTCACTTCCCTGGTTCCCTGCTTCGTTTGCCAGAGACGGGTCTTGATTTCGAAAATATGGGATGAGTCCTCTGTGTCCGAGTACGTGTCGTGCACCGCTTCCCACACTTCTTTTGCAGTAGACAGGAAGAGAAACATCTTCCCAATAGCTGGTTTCATGGAGTTAACCAGCCACGCGATAACCATGGAATTTTCAGAATTCCATCGTTGAAGTAGTGCAGCCTCCGTTGGTCTCTTCGAATCACCGGTAAGATAACCCAGTTTCCCTTTTCCATCAATCACCAATTTTATTGATTGGGCCCATTCACGGTAGTTTTTTCCGTTTAATTTTTCAACTGTGAGCTGAAACGACGAGTTCTCGAGACTGTGAGAACTAATTGTGGAGTTAACCTCCATTTCGGTTTGAGGAGCGTCGGAGTTGACAAATCCTGAGCTGTTGACGGGAAATTCAGCCATAGGTTGCTAGGTTTAGACACCTAAGGCTTTGATACCATGAACAAAACGAGAAGAATAATATTCTCATTCAATTAATTAGGCATTACAGCTTATACATCCTTTTATAATACATTGATGGAACTAAAAAGGAAAAGAATAATGAGAAAATAAGTTTTAGTCTATAATCTATCAATTTACACCAATATGGAAAGATTTTATTCTCTTTCCATATACACGATTTCCTACATTTTAGAAGTTAACTCAATTAAGTGAATAATGAACAAGAATCCATAGGTCAAGAACACATTAAATTATTTGAGATAAAACACAAATTACCAAATGCCAATTACAAGCACTTATGGCATACTACCTCCAGAA